TGAAGCGCCTTGTGTACCTCCTCCACCCCAGAACGTTTGCCAGAACTCAAAGTAGTTTATCGAATGCCTCTTGAGCTAATTCTCGGTCTCTTTTCTTTTTCGGTTCAGGTAGAGTTGGATGTGGCCGAAAGCGAGCAATGGACCGTGCGAGGATAGGATGTTGATGTGATTATCTCCTGGCAAGAAGTAATCGTGGAGCGGAACCAGTCATCAACTTCCGACCTCACACGAGAAAACGGTCTTGGCCGCTTGGCTGAGCTGGAGAAGGACGTCCAACGGATGATCCATCCAGCAACTTACAGCTCTGCTTTTAGGCAATGTTCAGTGTTGCTCTTGTACGAGAAATGTGGAGTGAGGACAAGCACAGACCTCACTTGGCGCTCCGACATAAGAAGGCTGAGGGTATTACCCAAGGATTCACCATAGGCTCCGACTGCCACAACACATCCCGCCTACAACTCAGTACTAATTCGCTTCGTTGCTACTGGAGAAGGGCTTTATTCTTGTCCTTGTCAACGGTTCGTTCTCGTTTTTCTATTACCGATTACACTTCACATCTCCACTGCTGATTACAAGGACAGTAACACATTACTTCGATTCTGGACCTTATCTTTGACTCCTACGCACTGTTAAGACACTTACAAAAGTAATTAGGGAGCGAAGTTTTCGGCCAGTTAATAATTGCTGCTGGTTCTCGAAGGCAAACTTGGGGATTAGCCCGACTAATAGAAAGGATATCCACGAGGGAAATTGTGGGGTCCGTACCTCCCACTATTTTCGGAAACTTCCACCAAATCGTCCCCTGCGAACGCAACCCCCTTTAACAACCTCTGCTGCCACTATGATAACCTTGCTCAACCACAAAATGGGACCCCCTTTCCGAAATCGCAAATGCGACTCCTCTTTCGAACAGGGCAAAGGGACGGTTGAACCTGTCCGTAAGTGATAGCGCCCTCATCGCGCAATTTGTGCAATGATGCTAGCATGATCTATATAGGTACGGACCCCACAATTTCCCTTTCAGCGCTTATGCAGAAGTTGGTAGATTTGTCGCTCCATGATACCAATTTGCCAATTTACCTTCCCCCTCCCACCCCGATCGACGGCTATTTGAAAAGTGGGTGGAGTTGGGCAGTGTTGACTGGTCTCAGAATGAAATACGATAGAAGCAGCCATGATCGTGAGGGTTGCAGGTGGTTGGAGAAGGGGAGGGGAGATCGCATCTGGAGAGTCTTTCGAGACTGATAATGGTGGTGGTTGGGTCTCAAAGCTCTTGAGAAAGTGCGGACGCGATGACCCTGCTTACGGGTCTGCAACCATCGACCCTCGCTGCAGCGCTTCCCACCCACCGCGATTGATGTAGAGGTCAGCGGGCTCTCTCGCGTGTTTTGTCCTCTTTGTTCGTCTTGTCTCGTACCACACCCGGCCTTACTGAAAGCTGGGACCTTAATTTCAATTTCCCTAAATTGTCTCCGATGTCTGCTTTCTTCTTTCAGCTCATTCCGCATTTCAGCCTTCTCTGCGAAGCGCCCTTACACACCAGTTCTATCCCAGAGCTTGCCTTTGAAGGACCAAATTCTGAAGCAGCAGCAGTTATTGATGACAGTGACTAAACGACTGACGCTGCGAGTTGTTTGATCCATGTCATCAATTGCTGCTGTTTTAGTTATGTTTGAGGATGAGCAACAACGAGGTGTTAACTTACACCACCACCAGGTCCGCCCTG